TGGGTCTCGATCCAAGCACAAGCTCTTTACCACCCCCATGATATGGCCTCATAAAATTTAAGCAATTTGATGGGCACCACATGGGCTCTGTCACCACATCTAGCACAAAGGGAGAGCTGCAGTGATCAACCCTGTGAATCCAGGCAAAAGCGAAAGTATTGCTTTTGTAATTGGGGAAGCAAGCTCTGCCTGCAGCTCTGCTTTCACCGGGGAGGAGTAACCTTGAAGAAATTACTGTCAGGCCTTCGATTATGTCCTATTAGTAAATTGCAGGCATGTTTTATCCTATGTTTATGGAAAACAATTCTATATAAATGAAATTGTTGGAGTTTGAATATAGTAGAGGGTTAATTAATTTTTTTTTTTTTTTTTTTTTTTTTTTTTTGAGATGGAGTCTCACTCTGTTGCCCAGGCTGGAGTGCAGTGGCGTAATCTCGGCTCACTGCAAGCTCTGTTTCCCAGGTTCACACCATTCTTCTGCCTCAGCCTCCCGAGTAGCTGGGACTACAGGTGCCCGCCACCACGCCCGGCTAATTTTTTTTTTGTATTTTTAGTAGAGACGGGGTTTCACCGTGTTAGCCAGGATGGTCTCGATCTCCTGACCTCGTGATCCACCCGCCTCGGCCTCCCAAAGTGTGATTAGGCCGCGCCCAGCCTAATTAAATAATTTAAGGAACTCTTCCCAATTTATATTGTGGGAAATTCTGGCCTTTCTTTAACTGTATTCTCAGAATCATAACTGGAAATAGGAAACTTTATGTGGCCACAGATGTTAATTAAGAAATGCTGATTCCTTAAAGCAGATGTCTTTCCTGTTTCCCTGCCTGCCTTCGGAACTACCCAGTCAGGATAATCATCTCCGTTACCTTGCTTATGACTCATGGGGTGAGGTGGTGGACGTTTCTGGGGGTCTTTAAAATACACTCAACCCTTTGAGATCATCTTGGGACACCTCACCGTGTTTGAGGAGTACAGAGACGGTGACCCCTTGGTGCACCCCCCTCCTGGAAAGCAGGGGAAGGAAGAGACAAGCAGTTCACACTGCATCTCTGGAAAGCCCACTTGGAGTCTGGGTCAACATTGCTAATATGTATGTATGTGTATTTTTTAGACAGGGTCTCACCCCGTGAGACTAGGCTGGAGGACAGCGGTGTGGTCATGGCTTATTGCAGTGTCGACCTCCCTGGGTTGAGGGGATCCTCCCACCTCTGCCTCCTGAATACCTGGGACCACAGGTGCACACCCCCATGCCCAGCCAATTTTTGTATTTTTTGTATAAACAAGGTTTCACCACTTTGGCCAAGCTTGTCTCAAATTCTTGGGCTCAAGCGATCCATCTGCCTTGGCTTCCCAAAGTGCTGGTATTAGAGGAGTGAGCCACTGTGCCAGGCCAACATTGCTAATTTTACTTAAACTTTCCTACACATGAGAATCTAGTTAAGATGAAGAAACCTTTTTCCTTCATCTGCTTTTCCCTTTCTCCCTTTCTTCCCTTTCTTTCTTTCTTTCCTTTCTTCCTTTCCTTTTTCTTCCTTCCTTCCTCTCTTTCTTTCTCTCTCTCCCTTCTTCCCTTCCTTCCTTCCTTCCTCCCTTCCTTTCCTTTTTTCCCTTTTCCTTCCTTCGTTCCTCTTTTTCTTTCTCTCTTTGTCTCTCTCTTTCTCTCTCTCTCTCCCTTCTTTCCTTTCTTCCTCCCTCCTTTCCTTTCCTTTCCTTTACTATCCTTTTCTTTTCTTTCCTTCCTTCCTTTCATTCTTTCTTTCCTTTCTTGTCTGTCTGTCTCGCTCTATTGCCCAGGCCACAGTACAGTGGTGTGACACTGCAGCCTCTATCTCCTGGGCAGAAACAACCCTCCCACATCAGCCTGCCATGTAGCTGGGTCTACAGGCATGCACCATCATGCCTGGCTAACTGAAAAAAATTTTTTTGAGAGACAAGGTCTCACTGTGTTGCCAGACTGGTCTTGAATTCCTGGCCTCAAGTGATCCTCCCACATAGGCCCCCCAAAGCACTGGGATTACAGGTGCGAACCACGACATTCAGCCAAGATAAGGAGATCTGATGCTGTGGCCAGATACATGAAGCTCTCTAGAGAAGTTTGAGAAGAAGTAAATGAATCCTGCACAATGACTTCTCAGGGATTAATTTGTAGACTTTTGCATAAATACATATAATTAAAGGTAAAACATAAACACTATGCAGAAGGTAATAGAGATGCTTGAAAGATGCAAAAACATTGGATTGAAAAATGCTTTATGGCAATGTTGACATCCCAGAGAAGCTTTTCAGGATGAACAGGACTTTGTCAGATATCGTTGAAAATATATATGGCATAAGAGCAGAGCAGAGAACCACATGAATGAAGACATGGAACTGGGAATACTGAATAATATAATTGGAACACATTGAACAGCTTTGGTTTGGTTAGTCAAATACATGTGGGAAATAGAGCTGAAATATGCCATAATAGAAAAGGCCTTAAATCCAAGGCCCCGAAGTTTGAATTTAATTGAATTCGCAATGAGAACCCATTAATAGTTTTATCTTCTTTTGTACCTTTCCCCCTTTGTTTTCAGGGGACAAGATTGCCTTATAATTTATAGAGACTAGAGAAAACAAGCTTCAAATGTAACTCTTGATCTCCTCTATCTCTTAAAAAAAAACATAATCCAACAAGATACTTCCCCACTATTCTCTATCTCAGAAATGGCACTTCCAGCAACCCATTGTTCACTCCTTTACCCTTCCATCTGCTTCAACCCTACCTTGACTGAATCAGCAAGACCTGTTTGTTACATCTGCAAAATATATCTCAGCTCTGTCCACTCTCTCACTCCTTGGATACCACTCTAACACAAAGTGTCCTATTTTGAGAAAAGAATGGTAGTGGGAAGGACATACTTATAGTTTGGCCACAGATCCATCTACTTCAAAAGAGGTGAAGGGTAATCTCATAATAGCAGAGAAGTTATAAAGTAGCTATTGCAGAGAGGACAAAAAAGCTTACAAAGAAAGGAAAAAACGTGGGAAAAATGAATGTTTTACATGATTATTTGACTGGATTTACAGAATTTGTTCTAGTTGTTTCAAGGTAAGATTTGTATTTTTTCAATAAGATAAGTCATTTAAAAAATTAGTCTTTGCATCCCAATGGACGGGATTTCCTAGATAGCCTTGGAATGGTTGTCAGAATAGCTAATAGCAGATATTCTAGATAGCTCTATAAAAACTCTTACAAAGAAACAATGTCAATAGATAGAGCCTGAATTTAGGTACCCTGTCCTGTGATCTAGCTTCCCTGTATCATGAGAAATCCCTAGATACCTCTGCGAATGTAGGTGATTCTGACCTTGACCCAGAAAATGACAAAGGGTTCCCTCAAATTGTGCTTTCATTTTCAGCACCGTTTTATAGTCCCCAGAGTTGTCTAGGATTTCTGCAATCTAGTTGGCAATATTGCACATAAAAGTGTCAGATAACTAATTTCATCGAACATTTAAGTGGTGTCTTTTGCATTTTCTGTATTTCTGACCTGACATGTTTATTGCTTTGCCTGCAGTATATGTTCTGAGATGTTAGTTTTAAATATGCCAGATTATTGGATGGGAATTTCCCAATGTGAATAAAGATTTCCTTCCCAACCTCCTCCTTCCAAAATGCCTTACCTGTGTGTTTATAAATTCCTCCAAGATCTGTAGTATATGTCTCTCTATTTTGTGAACCTGATGGCATGATAACTTTATGGTGAAAATCCAGTGCTTTATTAACAGGCTTTTGGACAAGAACATACTTAATTTCCAGCCATGGTCAACAGATAAAAGTGATCATGACTCAGCTCTAGCTTTGTAGAAATGAAACCTTTCTTTTCCCAGTGCATGCTGTAACTGGCACAAACACATAGGAACCTTCGGGAGATGCCTCTTGCCTGAGTTAACTGTCTTTTGTGATGGTGAACTATGAATACTGTGGTTTCCATGTAGCCAAATCATAACTATCCAATAAGGTAGATCTTTTTTTTTTTTTTTGAGGCGGAGTCTTGCTCTGTCGCCCAGGCTGGAGTGCAGTGGCACTATCTCGGCTCACTGCAAGCTCCGCCTCCTGGGTTCACGCCATTCTCCTGCCTCAGCCTCCCGAGTAGCTGGGACTACAGGCGCCTGCCACCACGCCTGGCTAATTTTTTTGTATTTTTAGTAGAGACGGGGTTTCACCGTGTTAGCCAGGATGGTCTCGATCTCCTGACCTTGTGATCCACCCATCTCGGCCTCCCAAAGTGCTGGGATTACAGGCTTGAGCCACCGCGCCCGGCCAAGGTAGATCATTTTTAAAAAATCAAGTCACCTCAAACTTGATTATCAAAAAGTACTCTATTACAAATTTTAGATTGTCTATCTGAAGTAAATTATATAAAATTATTTCCCATGTGTTAGTAGAGGATTAAAAGGAAGGATAGGTGAATGGGAAGTGTGAAGAACAGGCAGGGTCCTCCCCAACCTGGGCTTAGTTCTCATGTTGGGATGCGTGTGTCACCCTGGCCAATCACTAGGTTGGTATCTAGACAACTTGGATGCCTGAGAATTTCTGTAATGTCTTTTTCACGTTCTACTTTTGGAGTATGAATCTGAAGAGGGCTGGGTCCCTTAATTTCATGAGACTAATCCTCAAGTAGTTTTTGCCTCTCTTCATCTTTGGGAGAACACAAGCAGAATACTTTCCATATCCCAAGTCAGAGACTTTTCTGGATCTCTAGAAGAAAAATGGAAGGATTATACATTGCCCTGTTCCTCAAGAGTGGTATAGAATGAACTAATTATTTTTGTTGGTTTGCTTATTATTTCTGGTTTTTCTTCCCCTCCCCTGCTCCAATCCTGGAATTTGGACAAGCGGTAATTGACAAGGGATGTGCACAATTGATACTCAAGTGCATAGCACAGTGCCTGGTCCGTAGCAGGAGCTCAGCAAATACGTGTTCCTGAGTACGTCTAATTCTAAATTTCTCTTTGCAGCAAGTGAGAAACAGATGGTGGTGGTGTGCAAGGAGTCCCCAAAGGAGTATCTCCAGCCTTTCAAGGACAAACTAGAGGAGTTCTTCCAAAAAGGTAGGAAGCCTTGTCAGCAGCACGTACACGCGGCCCTGAAACATCCTTCATTTCATGAATCTTTTCTCTGAGGCCCATGGCCCCTTGCATCGTGGCTGACCACAGGCAGCTCTGGTGATTTCATTAGCCCATCTCTCCATGGTGGTTACATACTCACGGTAAAGTCGTCCTATAGCTTTTATATCATCTTTCAAATCCATTTTAATATTTTAAATTCTTGAATGTTACTCTGGCTTTTGTAAATTCTCTGAGGACAAACTTTTTTTGTCTTTTCATGGAGCTCAAGGAATTCCTCAGCCCATGTTCACCAACAAACGACATGCATGTAAGGCAGGTGCAGTTATGTATTTCACATTTGTGGTCAAGCTGGACAGGTGGATGGTGATCACCCTCCTGGTTTTATGAGTGTAACAACTTGGAAACTTGTGTTATATTTTCCATTCCTTTTCAGATAGGAAAATTAGGGCCAAATGAATGTCACCCATCAATCACTTGCTACCTATCAGCCCTCTGGGGTTGATCAGTAGAAGTGATATGCATGAGACTCCACACTTTCTTTGAAATCTTAACAGATTTTCTTCCTTTATAGTTTTGGCATGAGTAGGGAACTTCTGTTGATCAGGGTTAGTGAACATGGAAGTAGCACGTCTTTTAGATAATTCCTGTTCTAATTTCTCAAATTTAACTTAAGATGTAAAACAAAAATAAGTGTGGGCTTGTTGAAGACAGCTTATTTCCTTGCTGGAAAGCTAGAGGAAACACACATAGGAGCCTTTGAGGATATCTCAACATGCTCTTTCTGTTACTGAGTAAGGCCACATGTTACCACACCATCAACAAAAGACTGTTAAGCAGGGTGAATGCATAAAGTGTGGCCAAACCAGCTTGAGAATCGGCAGGGAAATTCTCAGTCTATGAGTCAGAGGAACTCCATTCCAGCTGCTGCTCCCTTGGTGCAGAGACCATTCCTCCCTTGTCCATGATGAAAGGTGGTCTGTATTGAAGTAGGAGAAGTCAGATTTCTCTCTCAGCCATTACAGAACCTCATATATGATGGAAGAAGTGCTGTCAGGCAAAGAACCATCTTGAGAGCAAAGATACTAATACTTGTGTGCTGTGTGACTATAGGAGATGGGTTTTATAAGTGACTTATCAAACAATGCATTGCTATGTAATTATACTGTGTAAATATAACCTAAGTAGCCTGAAGAAAAGCATGAAATACTTCCCTTTGCTGACCCCAGTTAATAGTGTCTGCTTTTTACATATGTCGAATTAACTTGAAATGAGGCTCATGTGTACTTGGATTCCATCTTTATTTTTAATTGCTATTCTAGTTCTAGAAAATTTTGCCATACGTATGTCAGGGTACTATCTGCCTGCATGCTGTAATGCCCTTAGAATCCTGCCTCTGCAAAGCAGCTAGCTTATATCGTGAATTTTATTTTTTTTGTTGAAAAGACATAAATATGATTAGATTTAAAACCTTGAGAATCGTCTTTGGTACCTTGGAAAAGGAATTTGCAAATCCCCATTTGGGATAATGTGTTAGCCGCTTCTCTACTAGGGCTCCTAAGACAATTCTGGTCTATTCAGAGAAAGGGAATTTATATGAGGGAAACTGGATCTTATGTCAGGGAAGTACGGGTATGGCCATAGTAAGCTGTTCTAAGAAAGTCCTAGAACAGTGGTTCTCAACTCTCTTGCGTACTAGAATCACTTGAGAGATTTTTTAAAATCTTGATACCCAGGCCCAACTCTAGACCCATCATCAGCGTCTCTCAGGGTGGGACCAGGCATCAGATTTTCCTTTTTTTTTTTTTTTTAACTCTCCAGGTAATTCCAATGTGGAACCCAGATTGACAGCCAATACTGTCTAGCTTACTTCACCTTTTAATGTGTATTCAAAGATTTATTCTGAGACTGCTATATGTTAGGCTCTATGATAGAGACCGAGAGTATTAAGTTTAATTGTATACCCCTACACCCTGTCCCGGAGTATCTTAGTGGGAAAAGATCTATAGTTGAATGCAATCAGCTCCTTTTTTTTTTTTTTTTTTTTTTTTTTGAGACGGAGTCTTGCTCTGTGGCCCAGGCTGGAGTGCAGTGGCCAGATCTCAGCTCACTGCAAGCTCTGCCTCCCGGGTTCACGCCATTCTCCTGCCTCAGCCTCCCGAGTAGCTGGGACTACAGGCGCCGGCCGAGATGGAGTTTTGCTCTTATTGACCAGGCTGGAGTGCAATGGCGCGATCTCGGCTCACTGCAACCTCCTCCTCCAGGGTTCAAGCGATTCTCCTGCCTCAGCCTCCCGAGTAGCTGGGATTACAGTGTGTCCACCACCACGCCCAGCTAATTTTTGTATTTTTAGTAGAGATGGAGTTTCACTATGTTGGCCAGGCTGGTCTTGAACTCCTGACCTCAGACGGTACACCTGCCTCGGCCTCCCAAAGTGCTGGGATAACAGGCGTGAGCCACCAAGCCCGGCCAGTCATCTCTTTAACCAAAAGATGAGGTAAAAGTGACATTAGGAATAACATCAAATCATGCTTAAAACAAAACCACCTAAAACAAGACATAAATTGAATGTGAAGGAAACATTACCATTCTATTTAAAAATTTATGAATATAAAAATATATATACTATTGTAGGAATCTTAAACATTCCCAATATTGTATGGCAGAAGAGTCTACTGTTGAAATAGCTTGTTATGATTATTTCATTACTTAACTCATTTTGTCAAAAAAACAGTCTAGACTTGCGCTGTTCGATGTGGCAGACCCTAGCCACATGTGGCTTTTGAGCAGCTGAAATGTGGCTAATCCAAACTGAGATGTCTTATAAGGGTAAAACGCACATGGGGTTTTCAAGACTCAGCATAAAAAACATGTAAAATATTTTATTGCTGATTTTTTTATACCGATTGCATGGTAAACTGATAACATTTTAGATATGTTAAATAAATAAAGCATGATTATTCATTTATAGGTAAGTTAATAAATATGTTAATAACCTGACAAAATATATTAGCTAAATTGTATTTCTTCTACTTTTTGAGTGTGGCTACTAGAAAATCTAAATTATATTTGTGGTTCACATTATATTTCTATCGGAAGGTGCTAGTCTGGAGGCATGTTCCATAGGCTTTCCTCAGCTCATTCCTACACTTCCTTCTCATTTTCACTCTACCTTCTCAGCTTGAATCCTAAGTTACTGGAATGCAGAATTTCACAAGCTAGCCCCCTGTCCACTCTGGGCCTGGCCCTTGTTTGGCTCTCAAGTGGGGCTACTTAACCAAAGGAGGTAACAGCATGCTACTTGATCAGGCTATTACCTCTGCGGTTCTGAAATATATGGTTTAGGGCCTGTGGTTAAGAAATACATTATCGTTCACAGCAATATGCTATGATGTAGGGGCTGGGTTTTTGCCAAATTGCAGTATATACAAATGGAATATCTCCTTGCTGCTGTTTGGAGTTCCAAATAGTAGTTCCTTTATTACGTAGATATTTCACTGATTCATAGAAAATGTAGGATTTTCCATTTGCCACAAATATGCACTATTCACCATAGATAATCCAATTTCTATGACAATTGTCATACAGTTTAAGTATAGTATTTCATCGAATATGCTATTTATTGTAAGAAATACCATTATTCCATGTACTACTAAGGAAGATAAATTGCTGCCATAAGCCACAGCATGTAGACTCTTAAGATGTACCCCAATATCAGAGGCTCTAAAATACGAAAATTCTATCAATTTTGGAGTTGGTGTAATGTGGTACTGTAATTAGGCATATAGAATCAGAAGGAAGAATGCCCAACACTTTTAGGTAAGACTTTCAGCAAAGGAGATATTTTTGTTCAGACTTGAAAAAGAGCAAAATAATAACGATGACAATGATGTTAACATTTACTGAGTGCCTCTGTCTGCTAGATACCATGGGGAACAAATCGCCTTTTTACTTAGTCACCATGACAGTCCTTTGAAGTGAGTACCGTTACCGCCCTGCTATACAGATGAGGAAATTGAGGATTAGAAATTCTCAGCAGACAGGCTACAAAGGGCATTCCAGGCAGAGGAAAGCACTGCAAGTCTCAGAAGGATGAAAGACATGATATGTTTGGAAAATGGCAAGCGACTCGGTGTGGCTAGATCACAAGGCATATGAGAAGAACCCAAGACCAAAAAGGAGATAAGAGTCACACTATGACTTGCTAAAGAATCTGAACTTTATCTGACAGGCAGCAGATAGTATTGGAAAATAATGTGTACAGGAGTGACATGATCATGTTGGATTTGTTTGTATTGTTTTGGTTTGTGCAGTTTTTTGGTGGGGGTTTATCACTTTGCTTTTTGTTGTTGCTGAGAAATATAACTAACAGTAATATGCAAAAAGGTTGAACAAATAACAGACTAATGCCATTGCAAAAGCAATGGCAAAGCCGAGGTGGGAGGATCACTTGAGGCCAGGAGTTGGAAACCAGCCTGGGCAACAGAGTGAGACCCCATCTCTACAAAAATTAGTTGGAAGTGGTGGCACCTGTAGCCTCAGCTACTTGGGAGGCTGACGTGGGAGGATTACTTGAGCCCAAAAGTTCAAGGCTACAGTGACTATGATTACACTACTGTGCTCCAGCCTTAGCAAGAGAGCAAGACGCTGTCTCTAAAACAAAACAAAGCAATGGCAGTAAAAATAAGAAGGAAAAGACATAATTATAAACAGTAAAGGGCTGTTTTAGGCATTACAGGACAGGATAATAAATTGGATGTACAAAATGAAACAGAGGAGAATAGGGTAACTCCTTTTTCTTGCTTGGATAACTGACTGGATACGGATAAGGAAGACTAGATTTGAGATGGAAGACAGTGAGGTCGACGTTAGACATGTTAACTTTGCACATATGAGACACGCAGGTAGATTCTGGGCTCATGGGAGACAGCTAGATGAGACTCTAAAGGTAGCAGTTCAAGTCATAGGAATGAATGAGATAGCCC